AATACGCACAAGCAAGAGAACTTTACAAGATCGCCACGAAAATCATGAGAGAAATGGGCAACAGAAATGGAGAAGCATTCTCTCATGAAAAGTTTGGAACCATGTGTTATTGTCTTGGTGAATATGACAAAGCTAAAGAAAATCTTGACAAAGCACATGCGATCAGAGTAGAAATTGGTGACAGAACAGGAGAAGCAGCAGATTACGGAAACTGGTTAGGAGTTGTGCTTGAATCTCTTCGTGAATATGGCAAAGCAAAAGAATATCTCAAGAACGCACTTGCCATCAGGATAAAAATTGGTGACAGAGCAGGACAAGCAGCAGATCACGGAAACTTAGGAACTGTGTTTCAATCCCTTGGTGAATATGAAAAAGCTAAAGAATATCTTGAAAAAGCACTTGCCATCAGGGTAAAAACTGGTGACAGAACAGGTCAAGCAGCAAATTACGGAAACTCAGGAACTTTGTCTCAATCTCTTGGTGAGTATAGTATCTTGGGAAAGCATTTGCCATAATGGAAATTGGTCACAGAAAAGGAGAAAGAAGCTGTTGCGGAAACTTAGGAATTGTGTCTCAATCTCCTGATGAATATGACAAAACTCAAAGAATATCTTGGGAAAGCACTTGCCATAAAAATAGAAATTGGTCACAGAAAAGGAGAAGGAAGCTGTTACGGAAACTTAGGAACTGTGTTTAAATCTCTTGGTGAATATGACAAAGCTAAGGAATATCTTGGGAGAGAAATCGCCATTAGGATAGAAATTGGTGACAGAGAAGGAGAAGCAGCAGCAGCAGATTACGTAAAGTTAGGAAATGTGTTTTAATCTCTTGGTAAATATGAGAAGGCTAAAGAATATCTTAAGAAAGCACTTGTAATAAAAATAGAAATTGGTCACAGAAAAGAAGAGGCAGCAATTTACGGAAACCTAGGAACTGTGTTTTAATCTCTTGGTGAATATGAAAAAGTTAACAAATATCTTGAAAAAGCACTTGCCATCAGGATTATCATGATAATTGGTGACAGAGCAGGACGAGCAGCAGATTACGGAAACTTAGGAACTGTGTTTAAACTGTGTTAAAGTCTCTTGGTCAGTATGACAAATCAAATGATTATTTTAAGAAAGCACTTGCCATGAGGAGAGAAACTGATGACAGAGCAGGAGAAGCAGCAGCTTACGGAAACTTAGAAACTGTGTTTCAGTCTCTTGGTGAATATGACATAGCAAAAGACTATTTTGAGAAGCACCTTCAATTAGCCGAGATATTGGAGACCTTGACAAAGAGATTCGATGTCCTTCCAATCTTGGTGAAGCTATCCCAAGGGAAGGTCCAAGAGGGCTATGACTATCTACTCTTGAGTAAGGACAAAAGCGAAAGTTTGCGCGGTTTTCTAAAAGACAACGATCACTTTAAGGTATCGTTTTCAGACGTTCACGACTTTCCCACCGGAATCTTAGTTTAACCTATTGTCTTTCTGGGAATTCCAACAAAATCCTTTTTGAATTTTGCGGGACAACTATTTCGGCTTATATAAACGATGTAGGTCGCTTCTCTCGGGAACTCAAGGCGTGACGATTACCACGTACCGCTTAATTTGATTTTTATTTATTTCATACCTAATTAAATTTAAAATCTATATCAAGTATGTACAAATTGACTTGGCAAAAGCCCACTGTGATCGTTTTACTGATAGAAACTTGAAGACGCGGGCCCATAATTCTCTATTCACTGAATTGTACCATGCTTAAAGTTAAAATAGGTAAAAGGTGATTGTGACATCAAAGGTACATATAAAAAACGAGAAACTTTACTGAAATGTTCTCGTCGCCATCCACCCATTTGTTTAAGTTTGACAGGTTGCGACCCCACATCTCGCCCTCCTTAAGCGTTGTTGTTTAGAGAATGAAAACTGTTTCATTTTCATTTCCAGGCAATAGCACCATTCTGTATTAAAAGAAAGGATTTAAATTTCCATTAGCTTTTATGTTAAGGTAAAGTCTACATACCAGCCAAGTGACTCATCAGGCTGGTGCTTCGGCCGGTTTCCGCATGAAGCGACTAGGAGTATTTCTATTCTCCCCTTAATGGGATGCTAGTCCATATTGTTCGACAATTTTCTTTAAACTAGAGAGATTTTCAATATTTCTTTTAGGCAATATGCAAACTTTTTGTGATCTAAGACCACTGCAATTTTTATTCAGTAGGTACGCGTGTATTATCGTGCGCAATGATAAAAGAAACAGACAACGCCACTATTTCGGAAGATCTCCTCACCTTATCTCCACTGTAGCTGGAAAGGTAGCACTCGCCAGATGAACAAACAAATTGAGGTCTTTGGTCAAAATCGCTCTCCATGTGTATTTTCTCTGATCTGTCCACTTGTCAGGGGATCCGAACTCTCTTCCATGAAAGCAGCGAAATCATGGGCATGGAAGTTTTCGATCTGCCACGAGAACGAGATTAGTATCTCTTCCTTCTCATTTATCACCTCGTTATCAGTTTCCTGTACAAGCTAGTATTTCTATATTGTAGTTATGTTTTTTGTTTTGTTTTGTTTTGTTTTGTCTTTTTTCAGTAATCTTACTGTTACTGTTACTCATGTGCATAAATTAATGCCATTTTGACTCTTTACCTTTGCTTTTATTATTGCCAGCAATCTCTGTCTTTTGCCATGCTGTAAATCATAGCGGGACTTGGCAGCATCATATACCTGTGTCCTCGTGTCTTTTCTCGGAGTCATTGTTTTACATCCCGGAACATGGCATTTGATTGCCTTCATCGGGCACGAGTGCTGATGTAAACTGACATGACCTCTGAAATACACATTTAAAGGTCACTAATTATAAATGGGCTAGGTAGGTCTTAACTCTCCAAAGCAAAAATTACCTTCATCGATTAAAGGAATTTTAGAATTTAGAGTAACGTATTATACTTCACCACTAAATTTTCTCCGATTCTTATTGGTTTAAATTGGTCACGTGACACCATATTTTTCCTCTGTGGAGAGACAAATAGCCGAATGGATAGCTTCGCTTCTAGGGCAAATATTTACGGCTTTAAGAACATCAAATTTCTGCATTGTGTAACTATTAGCCGGTGGTTCTTCAACAGAAAAACTATGATTTTATTACAGTTCACCACTAAATTTTCTCCGATTCTTATTGGTTAAAATTGATCACGTGACGCGATAGTGTTCATCAGTAGAGAGACACTAGCAGCGCGTAGTGCCCGTCCGAGGAAAATGCCCGGATGGATAGTACTCGTCCGTGAAAATATTTCTGTAAACAAGCGGGCTCATAGAAAGTAAACAATTGTCATTGTATTAAAAGGGTTTTTGTTTGTTTTCTTTTTCAAATTTTCCATTTGGCTTTCACGACTTTCATCTAAAAAAGTTGAAAAATTCAATATGAATTTTGAACTGGCGCGCGGAAGAAAATTTTGTGGTGAACAATAAAGACAATAGAGTGTTTATGTCTCGGAACTATCGGTCTGATAGTTGCCCCTTGGAAATTTGATGTTCTTAAAACTAG